AAGATAATGTCTGCCCCGTCCACCTGTCGGGACCACCTTGTCAAGCGTGTAAGTCACGATTCCGATGATGGCCTTTCTGAGACGAGCTCTCCCTACCTTCCTGCTCGACGGGAATGCTGGGGTCTGGATGGGACCGCATGGGAAGAGCAGGCAAGCAGGCAAGCAACTATGGCTGTAAAAACGCATGCGTGCGGGAGGCAGGGATGAAGGCCTTGCAGCCTCTTCTGGCCCAGGGGAGTCAGGGCCTCTGCCTGCTTCCCCACTTTGACCCTGGATGCCAGACTGGGGCTCTCTGGCTTCTCAGGGCTGACAGGTGGAGCAGCCTAGCCCCTTAGAATCCTTCCCTGTCTCCCCCCAGTAAGTGTTTTTTCTGACTGGAGGCAGATTAGATCTGAACACTTTTCTCTAACCCCACAAAGCTACATCCCACTTATTCATTCATTCACACCCCCATCTGTGTGTGCTTCAGGGCTCCCGTCCCTACCATCAGATAATTAGGCTTTGAACATTCCATACAGGGTCTGCTGCAAGATGAGACCATCAAGTCCAAGGAGCCCCAGAAATGGCCCAATGTATTTGTGTGTCCCGAAGAAAGGGCTTGTGGCTTTTTCTGGATTCTCAACCATGTTTGTGACCCAAAAAAGGTTAAGAAGCACTGGCTGGAGTGCAGGGAAGGAAAGCAGCTCCTCCAAGCTCCGCTGGAGGAAAACACCCCTGCAACAGCCACCCTGCAGAGCAATCTGCTTATACCTTAGAAGTCAGAATCTAGCTATGGGTCAGCAGGCAGTCCCTTTCCCAGCGATACAGCTGAGAAAGAACTTGAGAGTGACATCGGAGGTTGTCTGTAGCAGCAAAACTGGAAAGCTCAAACTTCCATTAATAGGAGAGTGAGTAGGAAGAGTTGATATTCAGACCCTGGGATGCCACATATCAATTAAAAGAATGAGGGGTGTCTGGGTGGCTCAGTGGGTTAAGCTTCTGCCTTCAGCTCAGATCATGATCTCAGGGTCCTGGGATTGAGCCCCGCATCAGGCTCTCTGCTCAGCAGGGAGCCTGCTTCACTCTCTCTCTCTGCCTGCCTTTCTGCCTAGTTGTGATCTCTCTCTCCCTCTGTTAAATAAAAAAAATCTTAAAAAAAAAAAAAGAATGAGCCACACCTCCATGGAACTTAGTCATCCAACCAATATTTATTGAACACTTACTATGTTTTGGGCGGTGGGCCTACAGTGATAAGACAGATCAAGTTTTGCCTGGAGAATATTTTCTAGCTGGTTAGATCGACAGAAAGAGACACAAGATAATTTCAGAGAGTGTGATAAATGCCACAAAGAAAATAAAGCTGAGGAAGGTGACAGAATGATGGGGGAAGGAGACTGTTTAGACAGAATGGTCAGGGGAGGCCCCTCTGAGGAAGTGACCAGAATGAGGGAGACTCTGGGAGAGGAGCAAAGACAGTTAATGGGGTGGACGGCAAATAGTGGCAAATAATGGAGTGAATGGCAGAGTGCTGGGGTGGGGGGAAGGCAATTTGCAAAATAATGTAAAAAAGAAAAGCATGCTTTATTGTACTTTACACACTACACTACTACAAAGTTAGAAAAAGGTCTGGAAGGGTATATGCCAAAGTCATGAAGGCAACTGTCCCAAATGTGGGGAGGGCAAAGGGACCACCAGGACTAAGACTCAGTGTGTTTCACCTTGCCTCTCTTATTTTAATTTTTAATTATTTAGCATTTTAATATCTCAGTGTTTAAAAGGTGAATCACACACATCTAACTTGTGAAATTAAAAACCATTTTAAGTCTTCTGTGGTGACTGAGGGTGGGTTCCAGGACAGCAAGGGGCCTAAGAGGTCCCTACACACTTTCACTGGACCTGAGTTCCTGGGGGCGGCGGGCAGTGGTTTGTCTGGGTAGGGGTCACACAGACTGGGAAGCCCAGAAGAGGCATGTGGCTTAGCCTGAAGTATCCAGAAGCTTGCAAGAGGTACCAGCTTTGCTGAACTTGAGACCATCTGGCTTAGCCCCTCCCCCCCACGGTGTAGACTAGAGGAGAGGCCATGATGTAAGACCACAGAGCAGTAGGGGACAGGGTAAATAGAACCTAAAACTCCCAGCCAGGTCTCTTCAAGCCTCTGGCTTCTCTGGGCTCCTGATGCACCTCCCTCGCAGCCAGGCCCTTCCCTCCACTCCTTTCCCCCAGAACTTGCTCTGCCGTCTGGAGGCCCCGCCCCGCTCTGGCCGGCCAGAAAGCAGCGCCACCTCCTGGCACAAGAGAAAAATGCAGCTCCCAGCCTCCACCGAGAGCCATCAGCGGGTTTCAGAACACTGCTCCTCTTCGACGGGAAGAAATCAGAGAGGGAGACAAACCACGAGAGACTCTGAACTTTAAGAAACAAACAGGGTCGCTAAAGGGGAGGTGGGTGGGAGGATGGGGTAACTGGGTGATGGGCATTAACGAGGGCAATGACATGATGAGCTCTGGGTGGCGTGTGTAACTGATGAAATCACCGAAATCTGCAACCGACACTAACGATGTATTCTCTGTTGGCGAATTGAATTTAAATTTGAAAAACCATACAGGGGCGCCTGGGTGGCTCAGTGGGTTAAGCCTCTGCCTTCGGCTCAGGTCATGATCCCGGGATCCTGGGATCGAGCCTCGCATCAGGCTCTCTGCTCAGCAAGGAGCCTGCTTCCCTTCCTCTCTCTCTGCCTGCCTCTCTGCCTACTTGTGATCTCTCTCTCTGTCAAATAAATAAATAAATAAAATCTTAAAAAAAAACCCCTATAATAATAAAAGAATGACCAATCCCTCCCACTTCAAGTCTATTTCGCACTGCCCTCTCCCTGTCTAGATGTAGGCCCCGGTGCTGCCTGCTTGGGTCTTCCCTGTAAGAAGGAAAAGATTTTTCAGGAAGGGGCGACCATTCTGGTACCCTAGACGTGTGGGTCAGGAGGAGGTAATCACTCACATGAACCAGTGGCATCTTGTGACGGCAGTTTACAAAACCTGCCCTCAGCTTCCTGACCCTTGGTACAAATCTCAGGGGTAGACAGTCCATTTGACAGCTTGGAAAAAACCTCCAGGGAGGGGCTTGTCCAGTGTCCTACAACGAACCGGTGGGTGCACAAGCTAATCCTGTAACATGGGCTAATCCTGTAACTCAGCCCAATATGGGTGGAGGGGGTGTCACCATATTTGAAAATCATGGCCTCAGTCTGCATTGTGGTTCCTGGACAGCAGCAGCAGAAGCAGCTCTGGAAACTCCTTAGAAGAGCAAATCCACAAGCCCCACTCCGGACCTGCTAAATCAGAGACTCTGGGGGTAGGGCCCAGCCATCCGTGTTTTAGCAAACCTGTTTGAGAACCTAAACCGGCAGTCTGAAGCAATTATACTCCCTCATTTTTATTAAATAAGCTTTTATTTGGGAGTGATTTTTGATCTACAGAAAAGTTGCGAAGAGAGTAAAGAGTGCAAATTCTGCACCCAGCCTACCCCACCATCGCTTTACCTTTTACACGTACATTTGTCAAAATGAAGAGACTGACATTTGTATGTTATTATTAAGTAAAATCCAGACCTTATTCAGATCTCCAGTTTTCCCAACGATGTCCTGGATATAACGCTGCATTTAAGACATTCATTTACATTAAATTGGTCACCTCAGTCATCTTTCCGTGGGACAGAGAATGGGTGGGAAAGCTGTTGTCTTGGTTACTAAGCTGGGGAAACGGAGGCTTGGAAAACATCCAGGGATGGAGCTCCCTTAGCAGGACAGTGAGAGCAAGACCTGTGTCACTTTGCACCCTCCCTGTCACTCTTCCCTTCACCCAGGACTCTTGTTTCCAGAAACCCCTTTGGAATGTCTCATCTGGCCTACCCCTATCTCACCACACAGACCATGACAGATGCCCCTGGTAGAGCCCAGGCCCGGCTCTGGGAGAGATCCACCTGCCCCATCACCTCCTCCCGTAGATTTAAGGGCCAGGACAATGTCTTAGTGACTTCAGCTCAGTCAGATCAATGCCCGGAGCAAAAAGAGAGAAACGGTATTTTGCCTCTATGCAACCATTTGTGATTGATGAAAAAAAATGCCACCAATTCTTTGTGGTTTTTCCCAGTAAGAGGTGATTTTGCCACCCCTTGAATCCAGGCCAGCTGTATGATTTGCTCTGATCAAAAGAACTTTGCAAGGGATGTTGTACCAATTCTGGGCCAAGAAACCTTGCAGCTTCTACTTTTGCTTTCGTGATATTCTGAAGCCACGTCTATAAGCCTGAGCAAACCTGCCGGAGAGACTGCATGGACAAGGACCGAGTCACCCAGCCTTAGGCCTGCCAAATGCCGACAAGTGAGTGGGGTCACCTTAGACCATCCAGCCCTATCCGAGGTAACAGCTGAGTGCGTGCAGCCTTGGGAGTGACACTGGGCGCGACCAGCACAACTGTCCCAGTGTGCCCAGCCCCAATTGCAAACCCATAGAACTGTAGGCAAATGAATGACGTGCTTTTAGTGGTCACGTCTAGGGATGGTCTGTTACACAGCAAAGACTCACCGGTACACAATTCCTTATTTCTCTCTTGGCAGTGGGATTCCAATTTTATTTTAGGAAGTGGTGTGTCAGTCCCAGGAGATGAATGGTCTACTAATTATTAACAATTCTGTTCCCTACCATCTTAGCTTTCTTTGCAGCCAGGGGTGGCAATGATTGGTCTGGGCCAAGGAGACCTAAGTAGAAATATGCAGGGGGACAGAACAGGAAACAGCTCTTTTGAGAAAGGACTGACTTCATGATAGATGTCGACAGCTGGCTTGGCCATTCTTCCCCCCCGCCCCCCCCCGCCCAGTCTCCACACCTTTCTTCCTTGAACACATCCAGGATTCCTGGAGGCATAGCAGCCATCTTGGACCATGAAGTAACAAGCAACGAGGGGGAAGACCAAAAGGAATCAGAGATATGAGCCCTGCCTTCGCTGGTGGTGCGGAACCAATACCACCTGTCTCCAGAATTCTCTTTGTTTAAGCCACTGTAACCTAGGCTTTCCCTTACTTGTGGCTGAACGTGTTCCACATAATGGGAAATACACGGATGAAAACATAGGAGCCTTGTCCTCGGGAATCTGGAGCCAGGAACAACAGGTGGCTCTCCAAACCCATCTTCTTTTCCTTTTCATTCTCTCAAGAATACCTCGAGGGCAAAGACAGGACCCCATTTCCGCAGCAGTGGGATCTAGGGCTCCCATATGGTTCAGGAACGAGTCCAAGGTCTTGCAGCTCGTGAAACAGGTGCTCAGAGACCTCCCCCTGGGCACAGAGAAGGCGCCCCTGACTGCTTCCTGCATGGTCCAGCCCCCCCAGAGGCTGGGTGTGTCTTCTGGGCTCTTAGGAGTGTCGGGTGGTGCCTAGGAGGCCGCTATTGTAAGTCCGGGGTAGATGCGCCCAGGTACACCCTGAGGTCCGAGAGGGTGGACTGGACAAGTTTGGCAGGGATGGTCTCTCGCTGCAGCTGCTGGTAGGCTGCATAGCGGTGGCAGCCCCCGAAGGAGTAGAAGTAGTCACCGCCCTGGGCCCCTTTGATCCAGAGGACGTCAATAGGAGGGACACTGTCTGGATCCTCCTGGAGAAGAGGGCACAGTGTCAGTGAGCACGGCACAAGGCTTGGCAGTTTGCGACGCAGACTCCGTTAACCTGTGCTGAGCTCCTACAGGGTATTTGCCAGCTCCCGCTGGCTTGTGAGAGGCAACTGTTAAATATTCAGGGATTTTGCGCGCTGGTTTTCATCAATTCGGTAGCTTGAAAATCAGCCACGGTGATTTACATCAGGGAAATGAGCGGATGCTACCAATCAGGGCTTTTTTCCCCCTAGAGACCAGGTTGTTAAACATTTATCAGTTTATTATTATACCATATACACACTATCTGTTTGGCCTTGTTCTAGACTCTGGGAATAAAGCAGAGGCAGAATGGGACAGACACAGCCCCTGCCTTCACGGGACTCCGGTCCAGTGGGGCAGATGGAATGAAAAGAGTGAGAGTTGGAGTGATCTATGCTATGAGGACAGTGACACAGGCTGATGGGCCAGGGACGGGGGTCCATGAGGCCTCTCTGAGGTGACAAGGAAGCAGAGACTGAACGCAGAGGAGTCGGCCTGGGAAGAGAGACAGGTGGAATGTTTAGTCAGACCCTGACTGCCTAGGTTCAAATCTCAGGTCTGCTACTTAACTGGTATGTGATCTTTGACAATGAATCTCTGTGCCTCTGCTGCCCCGTCTATCAAATAGGGACGAAGACAGGAGACCCATGTCAAAGAGCTGTTGAGTTACATGAACTAACATATGTAAAGCACTCTGAACAACGCTTGGCACATGGAAAGTGCTCAATAATGTATGCTCTGCACTACCGGAGGGAACAGCATTCCAGGCAGAGGGAAGAGCAAATGCGAAAGACCTGAGGCCAGAACAAGTTCACCATGCTGGAGGCAGGGCAAGGAGGCCAGTGTGATCATACTGGACTCAAGGTTGAGGAGTATAAGAGGTCAGAAACATCAGCAGGAGCCACGCTGTGCAGGTTGGTTTCTAAGAGCAGTGGGTTGGCCCTGGAGTGTTTTAAACAGTGAAAAGGTGACATGATTTGATGACCCTTCTAGAAAGGTGTCATGAGAGAGTAGTTTGATGGGATGGACAAAGGGGAAACCAAGGTGAGGCCTTCGAAGGTATCCGGCAGAAGATGCTGGTCCTGGATGAGGATGTGGACAGGACGGGGAGAGGCAGACAGGTTCGGAACATGGTGGCAACTCTGAGAAGACTGGCAGAAGGGCTGAATGTGAGAAGAGAAAGAAGAGAATCTAGGTTGACTTCCTGTTAGGGGCCTAAGCAGCCAGGTTCAGGGTGGGTAAAGCCTGAGGTAGGGTGGGGTAGGGGATGGAGCACAGTGGGGAGACCACATTAGGCGAGAGCAGCCTAGAAGGCTTCCTGCCACTGGCCCATGGGTTCGCCTTTTTTTTTTTTTTTTTTGAAGATTTTATTTATTTATTTGACAGAGAGAAAGAGATCACAAGTGGGCAGAGAGGCAGGCAGAGACAGAGAGGGGGAAGCAGGCTCCCTGCTGAGCAGAGAGCCCAATGCAGGACTCGATCCCAAGACCCTGAGATCATGACTTGAGCCGAAGGCAAAGGCTTAACCCACTGAGCCACCAGGCAGCCCCCTCCCGGGGTTCTCTTTTATTATGCTTATTTGATGGATTCATTTATCCATTTATTCCAGAAATGATGAGTAAACAGTAAGGCCCAGTAGGGACAGGAGGGGACTCTGGACCCCAAAACACCTGCATCTAAATTTCAGCTCCTCCGCTGAGCCGCCGGACACCCAGAGCAAACGGGCTCAGCGCTCTGAGCACCACTCCTCATCTGTAAAATGGGTGCGGATGGTCGATGGGGCTGCAGGTGAGGAGTCACGGAGCTGATGCCTGTGAGGCGCAGAGCACAGCCTGTCCGGCAGCGGGGTATGAACAAGGGGCTGGTGCTGGACAGGCCTTGTGCTGGGCACCGGGGGGACAGTGGTGGGTGGGTGGAGTCATGGCCCCCCAAAACATCCACATCCTAATCCCTGGAGCCTGGGAAGGTAAAGGGGACTTTGCATATGGAATGAAGTTAAGGTTCTGAGATGGAGAGATTATTCTGGGTTATCCAGATGGGCTGAATGTAATCACTGGCATCCCTGAAAATGGAAAAGGCAAAAGAGGAGGTCTGATGTCATGGCTTTGAAGATGGGGGAAAGAAGCCATGAGCCAAAGAACTAGAAGCTGGGAAAGGCAAGGAAAGGGATTCTCCCCAAAAGCCTCCAGAAGGAATGCGGCCTGTGCTGACACCTTGATGTTAGCCCCCTGAGACACATTTGGGACTTCTGAATTATAGAATTATGAACTAATACATTTGTATTGTTTTAAGCCACTGGTTCCTGGTAATTTGTTACAGTTGCCATAGAAAATGAATACATATGGTTAAGCAAAGACAGGCTTGGTTCTTGCCCTCACCTGGCATATGGTTCAAGCATGGAAGACAGGTGTCTAAACAGGCCATTCAAACCCAGTGGGATCAGAGCTGTGCTGGGGAGCATGCAGGTGTCTAACCCGGTAGGGGGCGTCAGGGAAGACACTGACACTGGGACAGCAAGACCAAGAAGGAGTTAGAAACAGTAAAGAAGAGATGGAAGAGTTCCTGGCAGGGCAGGTGGCGGAAGCCTGTGCAAAGGCTCAGGGGTGGATCCTCCAGGAAAAGCCAGATATCACGCTAGTCAGTGCTGAGGAAACAGCCAGGATATGACCAAAGTCCCTGCTCTTGTGCAGTTGACCTGAGGTGGGGAAGACAGACAATAAAACACAAATCTGTAAGTCAGGTGGACAGAAGTGCTTTATGGAGAAATAGCTCGGGTTCAAGGGGAAATCTTGAGAGGCCAGGGCAGTGTTAGCAAGGGCAGAGAGGGGGCAGAGGCCTGAACCAAGAGAGCGAGCAGGCCCTGTGGCTATCTGAGGCAGCAGTCAGTTCCTGGCAAAAGGTACAGTGGTACAAACCCTAGGGCTGAACACCATTCTGGGGAGCTGCAGAGGGGTCCGGAGGGGACTTGGGAGTCTCACGGAGCCACCAAGGGTCTGATGGGGAAAGGTGACGTGATCCCATGCAGGCCCAAGCGGACACACGTTCTTTTCCCCCATAAAGTTCCTGCCAGGATCACTTCCCCATTCTTCAACACCCTCCCTCAATGATGAGGCTGACCCCTGTCCTCTCCCAGGTCCAGTTCCAGCAAGGGCCTCCCAGCAGGCATGACATGTCCAGTCCCACTGCCACGGACTGTGACTGCCAGAAATGACAGCACGGCTTAACTCCAGACTGTGGTGGCCATGCAGCTGGGCGCTGGAGCCACTCTGCCACTTTCAAACTACCTAACCTTGGACAAGTTACTTAAAGGAAAAAAAAAAAAAAATCCTCCCGTGCCTCAGTTTCCTCGTCTGTGAAAGAGGGGTAGTAGTAGCATCTACCTCACAGGGCTGGCATGAAGCTTAGGCACTTGAAACAGCTCCTGGGCACTGCAAGGGCTATCTTTATAAATAGAGTTAGCGATCGTTTTTTAAATTATCTCCACCAATCTCCTGCCAGTCCAATAGAGGAAACAGAGGTCCAGAGAAGACCAGCCCCTTGCTCAAGGTCACACAGCAAATGCCGGGCTCCGGCGCAGCGCCTGGAACCAGTGCGGTCTCGCGTCCAGTGTGACCTCCCTCCTGCGGAGCCCTCCCTCCGGCCCGCCTCCCCGGGCCTCACCCGGATCGTGTCCACGAGGCTCTGCACCTTGGCCGGGTCCAGCACGGACGGCAGCGGCCGGATGAGCACGCTCAGCGGCACGTTGTGGACCGCGGCGATGCAGCCCGAATGGATGCTGCCGCCCTGCGCGCCGCCGCTAGGCCCGGGTCCCCCAGGCGCCCCTCGGCCGATCCCGGCCCCGGCCCTGCCCAGTGCTCCTCCCGCGCGCAGCCCCATTGCTCCTCCGCCGCCAGCTGCCGCCGCCGCAGCCGCCGCCGCGCCGCCCGCGAGCTTTAACCCGGGCCGGGCCGTACCACTCCGCGCAGGCGGCGGGGGCGGCAGCCGGGGCGAGCGCACGTCTCCTCCACCCGGGAGTGGTCCTGCCCCGCGCTCCCCGCGGCCTGCGCGGGGCGGCCGGCGCGGGACTCGGGCTGTCCGCCGGGGGGCGCCCCGCAGCCTCCCCTCCACCGCGCCGCGTCCCGCAGTGGAAGCGCCCGGGCGGGCTGACTCAGGGTGAGTCCGCAGGTTGTGGGGCGGGAGGGGCGCGGCTGACTCGGAGGCCCTGGTGACTCAGGTCCCCGGCGGGGGCGGGGGCGGGGGCGGGGGCGGGGACGGGGAGGGGCGGGGAGGGGCGGGGAGGGGCGGCCGGACCTGCCCAGCGAGGATGAGTTGGCAAAACCCGCGGTCTGGGCTGCCCCGGCCGTCCGTCGGAGCAGTAGCTGGAAGAGCCAAGGAGGTGATTTAAAACTACGATTCGGTGTTGTCAGGCGCTGTTCGGAAGCCTTTGTGTGTATATTAACTTATTTCAGTCTCCAAACAACCCCGCGAGATAAGTGTAATTATTATTCCCCTTTTACAGATGGGAAGACTGAGGCACAGTGAACTTTAAGTGATTCGCCCAAGTTCACGGAGCTAATAAGTGGCTGAGCCAGGCAGGGTTCAAATCCAGGGTGTCTCACTTCAAAGTACATTCTGTACCTCACTGCTGGCTGCCTCTTTTCAGCCAAAGTAACCGTCACAGGGAGCCTTCTGGAATGCTGCTGATAATGTGTGGGCACGGCCCTAAACATGCACACATCGCGTCCTCATAGCACCACTAAGATGTAGGTTTTAGGGACAGAATTATTGAACTGCTTGTCCAAGGCAGGGCAGCTGAAAATGAAAGCCATCTGAGCCTATAACCCAGCTTACAGATGTGGACACTGAGGCTGCGGAGTGGGTGGGGTGGGGTGGGTGGTGGTGCCTTGGGTCCAGACATGCTGAGTGCCAGCCCCAGTCTCTCTCATTCAAAGTCCTCTGAGGCCCAGGTTCAGCACCCAGAGTCCTCTGGGGTCAAGGGGAGGTAAGCAGAGGCTCCTGGTGTAAATTCCACGTGTTTATCAGCATCTATGGCAACATTAGGACTTTGGCACAGATTTGCCAGGGTTTGGATCCCATTTGGCCACTTCCTAGCTGTGTGGTCTCAGGCAAGTTGCTTAACCTCTCTGAGCCTCAGCGTTCTCTTCTGTTAAGAAGGTGTGGGGAGATGGTGGAATCCAAGACCAGTAACCAAGGAAAGTGACTGGTTTTATCATGAACACCCAGAGTGCTGAAGGAGAGGCCCTATTTGACTGAGAGCCTGAGGAAAGACTCCCTGGAGAGAGGGATTCAAATTGGAAAGTGGCTTGGTCCTGGAAAGGGAGAGGAAAGAAGCCGGTGTAGGCTTTGGAGTCACTTAAATGGCATGGATTTGAATCCTGACTCCACCACCTACTAAATCATGTGACTTGAGAGGGTGTGCGTGTGTTTGTGTGTGTGCGTGGGTGGGGGGTAACTCACCTTCTCTTGCCTCAGTTTCTTCTCTGGATTGCCAGGGGGAGTAAATGAGAGTAACACACTTAGGGTTTAGAAAGGTACGTGGCACTTGGTTAGTGTTGAATGGAAGGTAGACATGAAGGACGTTCCAGACACAAGCACAGCTTGAACAAAGGCAAGGAGGTTGGACAGCATCACACCTGGTTGAAAACAGCCATATCTGGTAAATATAGGTTTATTTGGTTTGGTTTTCCTCCTCTTCACCCTGGTTGGCATCTGCATGGGAATGCCTGTCACCCTCTTAGCTGGAGAAAGCCAGAGATGGTACCCACTGCCGGGAGGGGAGGCTGCGACATGGGCTAGTTACTGATACTTTCCGTACCTGAACCCTTTCTGATGAGCAATACTGCCTGTCACCCAAAGTCGGTATGGGTGTGAATTGTGAAGGTTTGTATAAGTGCTCCGTGCTTTGTATAATGTCCCATCTGCCATTGTAGGCAGCAGGTTCTTAGTTTTTCATCCTCTGTGTTCTGGATTTTAATCCTAGAGCTTGCCCCCTTGCAGTCCCAAGATGGCTGCTGTAGCACCGAGCATCACATCGCTGTACAACAACTTTCAGAGCAGAACTTAGGACATCCCTTTGTGCTTCTTTTTAAGAGTGAAGAAAGCTTAACCAATTATTCCTTACCCCTCCACTCCCTGCCCAAGAGCCTTTTACTCATATCTCTTTGGCAAGAATTATATCACCTATCCGTGCTCAAAATGATCCTTGGCAAGGGGAGTGGAATAAACATAATTGGCTTAGGTTAGTTGGCACTAACTTCTGTGCTCAGGAGGGTCTATTGTCCCCTGAAGTTCATGGCCCCTGATTGCTGAGCAGAACTAGCAAGGTCTGGGGGTGCCTGGGTGGCCCAGTCAGTTAAGCATCCAACTCTTGATTCTGGCTCAGGTCATGATCTCAGGATCATGAGATCCAGCCCCCGGGAGCAGGCAGGCTCTCCACACTCAGCGGGGAGTCTGCTTGGGATTCTCTCTCTCTCTCCCTCTGTCCCTCCCCTTGCACATTCATGCTGTCTCTCAAACAAATCTTAAACAAACAAAAAATCCAACCCCCCCCCAAACCCAAAAACACCCTGCCCCAAAGCTAACTGTAGCCTAGTTTTCCTGTGGGGAACCTTCTTTCCCCACTCTCAGAACTGTGTTGGGGGGCAGTTGCCCTGGTGGTATAGATGGAGGAGAGAGGATCTGGCCAGACCTGCCCAAACAGCAGTTCCTTTATACTGGCCCATCTGTCCTTTCACCAATGATGGAGACAAGCCTCTCCCTGGAGGTAAGATGAAGGACCTTCCAGGGGGGCCAATGGAAGCCTGGAACTGGAAGTTGGAGAGGTTCTGACATCTATGCGATATCCTTGTGTTTTCGTTTGGATTCTCCCAAAAGTAGATGCAGAGACAGGGACTGTGCAGGTAGTTTATTTGGAGAAAGTTCCAGTTATTACTGCTGTAGAACCAACCACTCCAAAATGTAGAGGCATAAAATAATCACTTTACTATCCCCCCAGAGTCTGTGGGTCAAGAATTCAGACAGAGCACAGTGGGGACGGCTTGTCTCTTCTCCACAATGTCTGGGCCATCATCCAGGTGACTCAACAGTGGGGAGTGACTTGATGGCCGGGGCTGGAAGCATCTGGAGGTGACTTCTGTTACCTATCTGTTGGATGGTACTGCCTGGTCAGTAGGTGTAGGGATGCCCACATGTGGCCTCTCCGTGTGGCCTGGGCTTCCACATAGCATGGCGGCTGGCTCCTAAGAGTGAGTGTCCTAAGAGAACCTGGCAGAAACTTCATGGCCTTTTCCAGTCTCGTCTTAGAAGTCATATAGCATCATTTCTGCAGTGTTCTATTTGAGGGAGCTGTCACAAGTGTTCCCCCCCCCCGGCTTAAGGGAAGGGGACAGAAACTCCGTCTCTTGATGGAAGGAATAGCAAGGTTCTAAAAGAGCTTGTGGGTGGGAGGTGTTGTTGTGGCCATCTTTGGAACACACATCACTGTAGGAGGTGATGTCAGGAAGTACTGGGGAAGGGAGAAATGCCAATAAAGGGTACGCTGATGAGCAGGTTAATGTGGTGGGCAAGTGGGGCTCACTCCTGCTAGGGCTTCTCTGAAGAAGCATTATGCATCATGCATCAGAATTGTCTCCCCGAGGGACAGGGGCTGGGTATTTTTTCACTGACTCCTGTCCTTCATTGGTGGAGGGTGGCCTGAGGTTGTTACACTTCCCCCTCGACTGGCTGCTCTGTGCTCAAACTAAGACATCATCTGAGGACCCAGAAGATGAAGCTGCCTGCTTACAGTGTGAACTCAGAGGTGGTCCAAGGGAATTAGGGGCAGGACATCAATAAATTCCTTTTCTGTCCACACCAGCCAGAGTCCAGGTTTGTTGTCTGCAGCTAAAGTCTCTGACTACCTGCTCTCCCCATCCTGCCCCTGGGCTCTCTACTCCTCCCCTTCCATTTTTGACAAAGAATTTCATTCAGCAGGCATTTGGGTCTACGGACGACTTTTCTGAGTGTTTGGGAAGAGGAAAGGATTTCTGTGCCATAAAAGGAACATTACAGAGTGCCTGGGTGGCTCAGTGGGTTAATGCCTCTGCCTTCAGCTCAGGTCATGATCCCAGGGTCCTGGGATCGAGCCCTGCATCAGGTTCTTTGCTCTGCAGCGAGCCTGCTTCTCTTCCTCTCTCTCTGCTTGCCTCTCTGCCTACTTGTGATCTCTGTCTGTTGAATAAATAATAAATAAAATCTTAAAAAAAAAAAAAGGAACATTACATTTTAGATTCCCCCACCCCTGAAATGCTCTTGTCCATTTCTACGTCCAGGATCCTGCCATGTTGCTTGGTCCATTCTCTCTTTCTGTTTTCCTCTTCATCTTCTCTTTGTCATTTCTACCAACCCTTGAGTTTCTTGTTCTTATTTTAGACAGAAACTTTGCCTCTGTCCTCTGCAGCTTCAGTGCCTGCTGAAGAAACCCCCTCTCCGTGGGGTCTTGAGGCAGCTTCACACCTCAACTGCTTCTCCTTGTCACAAGATGACTGCCGGCGCCAACCGCGGCAACCTCCTTCCCCACTTATGTCTTAGCTTGGGGCATTATACCAAAATACCATAGACTGGGGTTGCTTACACAATAAACATTTATTTTCCACAGTCTTGGGGCCCGGACGTCTGAGATCAAGGAGTGGTGAACCTCTTCCTGGTTCACAGACTGCTGTCTTCTTGCTGCTCTCCTGTGGGGGAAGGTCGAGGAGCTCTCTGGGCTCTCTGCCTGTAGGGACACTCATCACATTCATGAGGGCCCTGCCTCCCACCTCCACATGCCATCGCACTGAGGATTAGGCTTCCACATATGAATTTTAGGGGGACACAAACTCAGTCCAGAGCAGTTCACA